AAATTTGTGTTTCAGTCATTTTTATACTGGCTTAAAAATACTTCATTAAGTCTACTAAGCAGCGGTGTAGAACGTTTTTAATAGGGCCAGCCCAGTCCTGATCTTAGACCAAAATAAAGGGGGCAGAAAGTCAAATAAAGGGGGCAAAAGGAGGTGTTTTTCCAAAGGTCGAGAAAAATTAAATGCCCCCCCCCCCCCCCCCCCCCCCAATAAAAGTGTGTCACTGAGAGTTTAAAAATGAAATGATTCTTGTGCAAATATTGGTGTATTCACCTTTAATACTAGTTATTAAAATGCAGCAGTTGCTGGATTAGTGCAGTTCAGAGTGGAGTGCATCAAATAAAACAATATTAACATAAAGGTGAGACATGTCATAATCTCCCCACCACCACCACCCCCACCCCACCCCCACCACCACCACCACAGCTGGAAAAATTCCTAGGGGAAACACTGTGAAGGCATTACACTGTAGACTCTTTACCTTCAGAGACAGCAGTTTTTTTATAGTGCTTTTCTCCTACAAAGGTGAACACACACCTAACCAAATAACTAACTATAAACAGGAATTAACTAAAATGTGGCTTTCAGGTCAGGTTTTAGGTTGTTACTGTTTATTCTTAAACCCACAGGTTTATTAGGGCACATCGTCATAAGCAAAGTTTCATTTGAAAAACAATAAAATTCATTGTTTTCTAGATACATTTAAAGGAACCATGAGGAAAATTAGACAAGGTTTAAGGTGCATATAAATAATAATAATAATAATAATAATAATAATAATAATAATAACATAAAGCAAGTTGTCAATAATGACAGTGAGGCCAAAACACATTAACAATGGACAGTGCCTACAACCCCCCAAAGCGCTTCACAACAATCAGCCATTCACTCATCCACACACACATTCACATGCTGGTGGGATGAGCTACGATGTAGCCACAGCTGCCCTTGGGTGCACTGACAGAGGAGAGGCCTGCCACCGGTCCCTTGGACCACCATCAAAAGACAAGCTGGGTTAAGTGTTTTGCCCACGGGCACAACAGTAGATTTCTCTGGTCAGAGCTGGGATTGAGCCTGCAACCTTCTGATTACTGGACAACTCGCTTTACCTCCTGAGCTACTGCTGTACATTTAAAAAAGAATAATATTTTATACTATACGAGCCTCACTTTGAAAATAAACAATACAGATTGCAGCATTTCTTCATTTTTTTTGTCTTTAGAGACATATTTCCAGCTGCTTTTGTGAGTTAATAAATGTTTCATTCCAAAGACCAGAAGTCTAATAATAACACTCTTTTTCTCAGTTATAGGTATCATACATATTATAGGAGGATTTCCTTCCGTGCAGAAAAAATGCATGTGCGCTAAGCATACCAGTGTAGTGAGATGCTGTTTGGTTTTACACTGCAGAACAAGGAATATAGCGAATTACACACACACACACACTGACAAACGTTTTTCTAAAACTGGTCATTTCTGAAAATACACTTGTTAATATGGCACAGTTTCTAAAATTATTTTCACCTTGACAAGAAAACACCCAAAAATTTTCCGGTAGCTACGGCCCATGAAAATATACCAAAACCAGAAACAAGACGCAAGCCGAGTATAAATTTTAAGCAAAGAATGTAAAAGAAGATTCTGGCAAATACAAGAGCAAACCTTGTCTACAAAAGACCCGTTTGCTCTAGAACCCATTTTTAAAACACATAAAGGCTCCTAAAAGACCATTTTCATTGGAATGATGGGTTGACAAAAAATGGTGGCATAATCGCAAAACATTTTGCTCACACAGATGAGTTTGTAAGTGTTGCTGGACCGATAGCATGGCCGTTTGGAGGAGCAAAATGCTAACTGCTAGCCGCTAGCTTAAATCTGGTTGTTTTTCACTTCCAAGTTAGGTTCTCCTATTTACAGTCTACTTGATGTTTTCAGGAATATCACTAGTCCGTATAGGCTTTTTTCTGGCAGATATGAGTAATGAGGTGTCCTTTCACATTTTCTGTTCTCGTGAGCTCTATTAGCACTGTAGCCCTGAGAGCATTACTATTGGTGAGAAACCAGCCATCTGATGGGGCAGCCAGCATCTGTCTTTCTCTTCCACTTAAACACTCCAACAGACACCTCACAATACACACTCGCACACATGCTCACACAGCAGCTACAGACATCTGCCGGGTTCTACTAGGTCTTGCCGCTGTGGTGCTAAGGCTGTTACAAGGACTAAAGGTACTTGAGCGGTAATGACACATCCCCATTGACCAGACCGGGCATAAAAACAGGAAGTGGGGACAAGACTGAGGTCAAAGAGGACATCTATCCTGGGAGGGTGATTTAAATACTGTAAAACAGAGCAAGAGACATACAATGTCCTCTGACTGAGACCAAGGTAAGAAACGTGAGTTAGTTTCAGACCTGGACGGCATTCAGACGAAAATACAGAGCAGATTTCTAATTACACTTTAGAGAATAAATCTGATTAAAGAAGGAACAAAGCTAGATTTGCATAAATTAATTGATGCATTTTTGTAGATTATATCAATAATGAAAAGAAGAATATCTTATTTTCATCAGACCATGGCCTTAAACCAGTGTTGTATGAAGTGTAGTTGTAGCTCCAGGGTTTAATTTTACTCATTTGGAAGATGTAAAATGTAGGCTAGTTATTCAGGGAACAGAAGCGGGGGACAATAATTACCACACGGGTGATGTGTTTCCTTTTTTTAGTTCAGTTGTGTTCGGATCCCAGACAGAGGCTAAAAAAATGGTAATAGGATACCGGGCTGTTGGTGCAGAACACCAGGACACAAGGGCGTGCTTTGAGCCTTATCAACATTAGGCCATTGTCCTTACAGTTTAAACAACATTGATGTAGGCAGTGGGTTAGAAAAGTCAATTTTAACTGAATTACAGTTTTGTGTGTGTGTGTGTGTGTGTGGGGGGGGGGGGGGGGGGGGGGTGTTAAGAAATGAACTTTTTCACAAAATCAAACTAAGATCATTTTGGTTTAGCAGCAATCAGGTTTCTAATCAACTTCAGAGCAATTATCCAGTTTAAAATTTTGCTCTTTGAGTCAAGCTTATAAGCTGTAGCTGTCTGTTGTTGCTTAACGAGCAGCAACTATCTATGAATAACCTTTCCCCCTACCCTCTGATGAGTCCTTGGAGTCGTTAGGCTATATTGTAAGGGTAGTTGCTGTGTTGATTAGATGAAGGAAGGCGTGACCTAGACAAAACTGTTTGGGATTAGATTCAGAGCTGCATGATAGGTGCTGGAAAAGTGAAACCTAAGTAGTTCTCCTCTATTTCATGTAGGTTATTCCCATTTGACATAGATAGCTTCCTTTACTCCTCTCTCAAACCATCTATCTTCTCTATCCAGAATGTGTCTTTGTCACTTTCAAAAGTGTGTCCCTTGTCCTTCAGGTGTAGGTGGACTGCAGGATCTTGACCTGAAGAAGTCCTGTGTTGTGCCATGCTCTTGTGTAATTGTTGTTTAGTTTCCCCAATGTAAAGATCTGGACAGTCCTCACTACATTGGACTGCACAAACAACACCACTGCGCTTCTGTTTGGGTGTTTTGTCTTTTGGATGAACCAGTTTCTGTCTGAGGGTGTTGTTGGGTTTAAAGTTTACTGGGATGTTGTGTTTGGAGAAGATTCTTCTAAGATTCTCTGAGACTCTTAACACTTATGGGGTTTTGGTGTCTTTTCACCACTGCGCCTGTTTTCCTTGGTATTCAGCAGACTCGCGACAACAAACAGGTAGCTGATGGCAAGTCGGGTGAAGTGTCTTGCCCAAGGACACAACAGCAGAATACTCCTGGCGGGAGCAACCGTGCTGTCCTCCAATTATGAGGCCAACCCGTTCTACCTCAGAGGCTACTGCTACCCAAATAAACAGGATAGTGGGGATTTTTCTTCCATATGCATAGTTTAGGCATTCTTAGAGAGCAACAGTGGCACAGGAGTTAAATGCTTGCCCCTGCTGCTGTCGTTGTGTCCTTGGGCAAGACACTTAACCCACTTTGCCTGCTGGTGGTGGTCGGAGGGGCCGGTGGTACCTGTGTTCGGCAGACTCGCCTCTGTCAGTGTGTCCCAGGGCAGCTGTGGCTACATTGTAGCTCATCACCACCAGGGTGTGAATGTGTGTGTGAATGGGTGAATGACTGATTGTGTTGTAAAGCACCTTGGGGGGTTCCAGTATTCTAGAAGGCTCTATATCAAATACAGGCCATTTACCATTTACTTAGTTACACAATCAGTGTTTTTTCGGAACCCCACTTGATTGTGAACACGCTACCTGCTAGCATGAGCATTAGCCAACTGATCCATACTTGATCCTAGACTTTGGACCGTTTCTGCCTTTTACAATAGTTTGTATCTTTGCTGGAATCTCTATTTTCCTCCACAGCACCTAGCTTAACACATTCTGTGCCAGTAAAATGTGTTCAGACTGTGGTGTGTACATTTAATGAAGCCTCAATCAGTAAAACATGATTCAAGGAATATAATAAATCAAACCATTTGATGGTTTATTTCAGCTCTGCTTTATCAAGCTTTACTGTAGTTTTATTATTAGACTTTGTAGGTATCATTTAACTCTCAACCTGCCATTTAATTCATGATTTTATTTTTTCTTTATTTGCCTTCTTTGTAACTTAAACTTTTTTAAATTTTTGGGTGTGTTTTTATGCGACTGCTTTGTCACTTTGGGTTGTGTGAGCAACAGCTAATGTGCTGTATTGATCAAGCTGGATGTAACCTTGAAACATTAAGTAATCTTTACAGAAGCAGCAACAACAACAACAGCAATTTTTCATTAACTTTTAAAAAGGAAATAGCTCCTATGTGAACAGGTTAGGCAATGGCTGCATTAAGGTCCAATTCCTCCAAAAAACATCTCAAAGTTAGCAAAGAATAAGACCATCTGTAGATTTTGAAAGCATTTGCTCGTGCTGTGTTAAGACAGTTATACAAACAAAATACACATCACTCACCAATATCAGGGTTTCCTCCAGGGTTTAGTGTAACTCTAAAGGCTTGATGCCAAATGTTTTGGCCAGAGGGGGTATCACAAGGGTCGATGTAGAGAAGAGCACCCCGAAAACCAAAGTCAGAAATCAGGGATAGCTGGTTACAAAAACAAAGATACAATCAGTGAAAAGGTTCAAACATAAAGAAATGAACATGAGAAGCATATTTACTTATTTCCTACTGATAAGGCATATCTAACCATCATGATGGGAACACCTGGATGAACTACTCCATTTCTAAACATTAACAAATGAAATAAAAAACAAAAAGCTGTCTGTGTTTGAACCCAACACGTTCAAAATCTGCAAAATGTTAAAATTAAGGTTCAGTAAAAACACTTTCAACAAAGGTTAGAAAACTAGTGAATGATGAGGAGAATTTACCAATGGAACTTAAAAAAGGCATTTCTTTAAGACATTCTATGACTTTAATTTGAGTAAAACACTGTTTTATTTAATAAGATAACTATGTTTATGGTTGCTTGTTTACTTGCATCCTGTCCTGTAAGTGAAATCTCATTGTGCACCTTCTAAATAAAGATGAAGAACTACCCAATCCAATCCAATCCAATTGTATGTATAAAGCGCATTCACAAGGCATTACAACCAGACAAGGCGCTGTACACTAAAAATAGTAGTTAATTAAACAGGCGTTATACAAACATGTCGAACACAGATAAAAGATAAAAAGGAAATACAACAAAATTCCCAAAACTTAACAGCTAAAAATCAATGACATTGGGAGAATTAAAAAAAATAGAAAAACATTTTTAAAAAGAACCTCAATAATACGGAAGTTGATATTGTGAAGTCCATTTTTAAACAATGCAGATGTGAGTGAGGTTCATAATTATGTGATATAAGCTAGGTTGAAGTAGTGAGTTTTCAAGCGTGATTTAAAAATGCTAGCTGTTGGTGCTTGCCTCACTAGCAGTGGTAATGCGTTTCACAGCTTCGGTGCACAGGCAGAGAAAGCCCTTTCTCCACGGCTTTTTAAACGTGCATTGGGAACAGCTAGGAGGAGCTTATCTTCGGACCTGAGAGCACGCGGTGGGTTGTAGTAATGGACAAGTTCACACAGATATGGAGGAGCTTGATGGTTCAATGATTTGTAAGTCAGAAGCATAATTTTGACGTTTATCCTGAACTGCACGGGCAACCAGTGGAGAGATTTCAGAATTGGTGAAATGTGTTGTCTTCTGTCAGCTCCAGTCAGCAACCTAGCTGCTGAATTCTGGACCAGCTGAAGTCTAGAAAGAGCTGCTTTACTGATGCCGTATAAGCAGGAGTTGGAGTAATCCAGCCTTGAGGTGATGAAAGTGTGGACCACAGATTTCAGAAGATGGAGGAAGTTATCAGCTAGCCATTGCTTGACCTCAAGTATACAATCAGACAGAACTTTCGTTGATTGAGTTGGCTTAAATGAAAAATAGATTTGTCAGCAAAGAGCTGTCTTTGCCTGTTGAGTGCAAAGAGCACTCAACAGGCAATTTGTTGTCAAGAATAAAAAAACAACCACTGCACTTTTAAACTGTGAACTACTCGCATGATTGAAACTAACAATCACAAAAAGAAAGTGCATTTATTATTATCACAGAAATTGTCTTATTGAAGGATTTAGTCATCATAAAGACATTTGTATGGTATTAAATTGTGATCATATTTGTTTACTCAGCTTTAAAATGTTTCTGTGTGGGAGGAAAGTGTGCTGCGCTTGTCAGTGAACAGCAGTATTTCATAGTGTCCTTGAAAGATGTCGTGTCCTTGTTTTTATGAGTGTAGACGACTATTTCATTGAATATGTGACACCATCCATGATCATCCTGCTCTAATCACAACTCAGTCCTTCACTAAAAAAGGGACACAGCACCTGCCCCCCCCCCCCCCCCACCACCACCACACACACACACACACACACACACACACACATGCAAAGTAAGCAGGTTCATTTTTTCTTATTATTATAGATGTTTGTAGCAGACACAGCTACTACTGGGGTCACATACACAGGAAAATACACATGAACATTTTGTTTCCAGCTTGCGTGAATTCATGGTGAACAGTTTGATTTGCACACTCTCACTCCAGCATTTCAATCTCTCTTTTGTCACATCTAAGATGGGGTCTACCATACCAGAGAGGAGGATCCAAGAATGACTAAATTATACCAGACAGGAACCAACATGAGCTCTACCAAACCAAACATAACCCTATCAGATTAGAGCTAAACTAGGCTCTACCATAACAGACAGTACCCAACATTGGTCCATCACACTAGAAAGAGCGCAATGTGTAAGATACAGGCTAACAAAGTGTACTTGGACCACCAAAGCCAAGTGGGTGAAATAATGCAAAATTATGTACTTTTGATTTTGCTGAGTGGGAGGTGGAGAAGCACAGATCTAAGATGCGACTTCCAGACACAGGCTGATGATCGGGATGGTTTACTAAACAGATGTGGTCGACAAAATACCAAACAAGGCAGCGGTGATGGATGTAGGGATCTAAAGTGATTGTAGCACAAGCAAGAAACACAAATATGGACCATGATAAGCTCAAGAATAAGCAAAGGGGCAGAAAGGTTAAATAGAGGAGTTGTGGAAAATCCAGGCTTCAGCAGGGCAGGTAGTCACTGGAGCGCTGAGCAAACTGGGACAGGGGAAAAACCAGATCCCAAGAAAAACCCCAGAGATCTCTGTCCAGACAAAATCTCTGCAGCCAGGATCTCCAACTTCTAACAACATGTTTTAGTTTAGAAACTGTAGCTACAAAACAGGTCAACAAAACTGTTTCTGTGTTTAAAAAGAACAAAAGCATGGAATGTTTTAGTTGTTTCCCTGCTCCAACACATTTGATTGAAAGGTTGAATCACCTGTTCAGCCTGTTAATCACTCACTTATTAAAAGTAGGTGTGTTGAAACAGGGAAACAATTAAAACATGCTGGAGAGCGGCCTTGAGGACGGGAGCTGGAGACCAATGCTCTACACATCAACATAAAGAAAAGAATATTATAGAAAGTATGACACATTTATTGATTGAATCTATTAGTAAAATAATAGATAACTGCAATTTAATGAACTAATACAATTTAATTATTTAAAATACTGCACAATAACGCTGAACTATTTTGATCTTTATCCTGAAATAATTTAACCTGAACGAGTTAAACTATGATGGGGAACATAAGCATCTTGTTGATGTTGAATGTGATGGTGCGGTAACACTGTGCATGCGACCAGAATGGCTCATTGGTGAGATTTCAAGGCTCGTCAATTGTTCTTGCCTCCTTCTATGCAAAGTGTGACCATTTCTCTTAACTGCTGCCCTGTGGCACCATTATACAGAACATCTGAGACATTTGTCACAAATTGTAGGTAAAGGTGGGGGAAATGGGTCAGCAGCCTTTGCTAGAAGGATCCCTTGTGAGACAGTTTGATGTAACGGAGTTTTAAAGGTCTAACGGTTAAAATGCAAATGAAGCAGTCTGACCCCTCCTACAGGGATCCCTTTTTCTGTTGTTGACCTTCATTTACTTTTTATAGTCATTTTAATAATTTCAACTGTTCAGAGAATACCAGGAACAGTATACGGCAGGACTTGTGTGCGTTCCTGCTCTGTCTTCTCGATCCCCAAGTGAGTCGTGGTGGATGGCTGCTTATACTGAGCCAGGATTCTCTGGAGGTTTCTTCCTGTTAAAAGGGAGTTTTTCTCTCCACTGTCGCTTTATGCTTGCTTAGTAAGAGGATTGCTGACTAGTGTCAGTGACTCGATGCAATTTGCTGGGTTCCTTATATAGGAAACATTACTTCTGATTGGCTTAATGAACTGACCTGAATTGGAATGTTTATTATGTGAAGTGCCTTGAGACGACTCTTGTCATGATTTGGCGCTATATGAATAAAATTGAATTGAATTGAATTGACTTATCTCACAGGCCCTGGATGTGGTAGAGATGTGAATCTCCACCTCTGAGGCTGATTTGCTTCACATCTCAGTAAACTTCCAGGGAAATCCAAATGTGTTCCCTGGCCAGCTGAGAGATATAGTCCCTTCAACATGTCCTGGGTCTACTTTTATGCCTCCTCCCAGTTGGATGTGCCTGGAAAACTTCACCAGGGAGGCGTCCAGGAGGCATCCTTACTAGATGCCTGAGCCAACTCAACAGGCTCCTCTTGAAGTGGATGAGCAGCTGGTCTACTCTGAGCCCCTCCCAGATGACCAAGCTTCTCACCTTATTTCAAAGGGAGAGCCCACAAAGAAAACTCATTTCAGCCGCTTGTATTCATGATCTCATTCTTTCAGTCACTACCCAAAGCTCATAACCACAGGCGATGGTAGGAATGTGGATCGATCGGTAAATCGAGATCTTTGCCTTCTGGCTCAGCTCTCTCTTCACCACAACAGACTGGTACAATGCCCGCATCACTGCAGACGCAACACCAATCCGCCTGTAGATTTCATGCTCGATCTTTCCCTCAGAACTTTTTATTAAAACAGAAATTGAAATGACATACGTTTATTTACATTAACTACTCAGATATGTGAAAAAAAAGATATGAACAAATAAACAAATCTATTTACCTGCTAATATTTCATGATTTACATTTAAAAGTTTGACTTTGGCTTTGCTTTTGAATAAAATCCTCAATAATATTAAAAGGTCTACCAAACGTATACAAGTTTAACTCATTACAATAAATTGCAAATAATTAGAGGGTTGTCATTTCGTTATTAAAAAAAATTCCTTTGACTAATGTCAAAGCCCTTTTGGAATTTTTAATTCAGCTTTGTGTAATTAAATTACTTTTGTCTGAATAGAAAAAGAAGCTAAATTTATGAGTAATAAACATCTAATTAGATCTTTATGTTTTAATTAACTGGATTGAAATTTAAAATGTCCCTGTCATTTCTTAATTGATGGAAAAAACTTGTTTGAAAAGAGTTGGCATGCATCCAAGTATAAACAGGCCTAATTAATCAGTCAGTGTTGTTTCTCAGCTAATCTGCAGAGTTAAGTATAATACTTTTATGGCAAAATTAGCCTGCCATATGCATGCTAAAAACATATATAAAACATGCACCATTGGTGTAAATATCAGTTTCAACATGTTGCTTATGTTTAGAAGAAGACACCTAGAATTATTTTGGAATGTAAGTCCTCAACAGCCCTCCCAAAATCAATCAAGTCACAAAAAGTTACTATTTTATTTGATATGAAGGATAACTATTCCTCAGTCTGGGGGAATATATTACCAGCTGCAGGGTTAGTATTTAAGGTAGATCTCAGAATAGGTGGTTCTGCTGTCAGACAAGTGCTGAAGTACTGTGATTTGATCTTACCTTGTATAATAAAGGTGCTCGTCCAAGCTTAACTGCAGCAATCTGGTTGGTGAGGTTGAGATTTTCTTTGGCTCTCTTCAAATCATCCACACTACCATACTGGACATCTACAACTTCCCCCTTGTGAGAAGAAACAGAGGAGCTACTTAAGGAAACATGTTTACTAAATTGTTCATAAATTCTACTCAAGAATTTGTTCCATCACAGGATTCTGGGCAGTAAACCACTCGAGTACTGCTGAGCTGTAAACCTGCATAAACAGTGTAAAATCCATCACTAAAGGCTAAATAACAAGGTCAATGACTAAAATCAGTTGAATGAGCCTTGAAAAAAGGTATGTGACACTAAAAAAGGATTTTTTATTACATGCATATTGTATTATATGTTTGCTTCCTTTAAAGCAGGGGTGTCAAACTCATTTTAGCTCAGGGGCCACATTGCGAGAAATCTAGGCCCAAGTGGGCCGCACCGGTAAATTAAAAACAACTTCAGATTGTTTTCTTTGTTTTAATACAGTCAATATAAAACAAGGCTGGAGCCTGAGGACATCCAAAATAGTACAAGTACAACACCTGAAGTGTACTTGAAAATTTGAAAAAATTAAAAAATCAATAAATAAAAAATACATTCCTTAGTGATTCAAAGAGCTTACAGATCACTTGGCTAGATCAGTTTCATGCAGCACTTAAAATATATTTTACTTTACATCTTTTAGCTCTCACCAGCACATCAATATCAGAAGTCACATCCTGAGTGGCGGCCAACTTCAGGATGTGATTCAAGTTCTTGTGTGAGCCTTGAGCGCAGCTTTGTTTTATTTATACTCATTACAGAGGAAACTTGCTCACAAAGATACGTTTATTTTCATACTTTACAATGTAGAGTGAAAATACAAAGTTTACACAACCATCTCGCGGGCCGGACTTAACCCGCTTGCGGGCCGGAGCCGGCCCGCGGGCCGCATGTTTGACACCCCTGCTTTAAAGCTATCTTTTTTTTACAATTAAAATTACATTGAAATCTGAAACTAATTGCATGTGTAAGTTTAATTTTCTTTTAAGTGTAATTCATTTTCTATATTGAATGCACATTTAAACACTGCTAGTGAAATAATGCATTTCCAACGTTGATGCTTTATTATCTAAAGTTTTCAGAAAAGGACAAGTGATTACTATCCAGGTTCAATTGATAAAAATGTGCCACCAATGGGCTCTTTGGACATCTTGTAATTCCAAAAACCTTGGCTTTACCATTATTACAAAAGAAAATCCCACCAGATTACAACACATGTTGACCTTAACCTATATTGACTGTTCATTCTGATTTTAGTGAAATATAATTAACCCCTTGTAGACTATTGTTGCAAATCTGAACTGAATGACATCTGGCTTTCAACGGACTATTCCATACACATTCCATTCTTAGGAGCTTTTGACCATGTTATAATATTTCCTCATGAAAAAAAACACCCCTAAAGTGGTTTGGGGGTTCATCCACGCATTTTCCTATTACAAGAGCAGCTTCCCTTCCGCTCTGCCCAGTTAATGCAGTCAGCGAGCTGGGGCGGGTTTGTGTCATCATGTTCCACTCCTCCCCATTCAGGTAAACACTAATGCCCAGTTTCGCTAGCAGGGAGTTTAATCTCCACAGTTGTAAAGAAGTGACTTCTTTCTTTTCTTGTATGAATTTTAAAGAGCAAGTCACCCCCAACCAGAGTCTTACTCCACCTCCACTTCCCGTTTGAAAAACGCAACAAATGCTGTTGCCTGACAGACCGAGAGGGCAGGGCCCCTAACAAAAACACACACACACACAGGTTCACAACAACATTGTGACATCATATTGTACCAGCGAACATCATAGTGTACTTCATAGCCAATAGCGATGGCAGATTTAAATTTAAATGCAGTTCAGAGTATTTACCTGAAGATGGTGCAGTACTGACAGTTTTGGGCAGAATATTAAATTTTTAACTAAGATGTACTAAAATGCCAAATTATTGACTACACATGTCTACAGCATGAGTAGACACCCATTTGTATAGTTTATCAGAAAACAAGTTGATTTGGGGGTGACTTGCTCTTTAAATAATGCCCAGAACCCAAAAAAGGTGTTTTGTCTGTGAGAGGTTCATGATCTCTGTCCAGTTTTTCTGAAGTTTCTGAGTTTAATTGGCAGAAATGGTTGGATTTTATCTTCAGGAGCTCTCAAAAACCGAGCCAGAATTTGATTGTGATTTCACAGACTGTTAGGAAGAAGAAGAAAATATCATTTATATAGCGCCTCTCAAGATAAAAATCACGAGGCGCTTCATAAAAACAAAAATGTACAAAAATAAAAAATAATTTAGAAAATGGTTAAAAATATATTTAAAATGAGCAAAAAAATAGTCAATTGTGATTAAAAAAATGTTAAGAAAGAGAGAGAGTGAACAGGAAAGAGGGAAATCAGTGGTTCCTGAGGAAGGTGGAATAGGTGGGGAGAGCAGAACAAGGAGAGAGGGGGTGAAGAAGGTCATACAAAAGCCAGCTTGAACAAGTGAGTCTTCAGCTGCTTTTTAAAGGAGACCACTGAGTCCACTGACCTCCAGAGTTCCAGAGTCTGGGGGCCACAGCAGCAAATGATCTGTCACCTTTGACCTTTAGCCTGGTGCTGCACAACCAGTAGGCTTTGATCACTGGACCTCAGGGACCTGCTGGGGGTGTAGGGACTGAGAAGATCACCAATGTATGATGGTGCTTGTCCATGTAAGGCCCTGTAGACCAGAACCAGGATCTTGAAATTAACCCTGAAGTTGACTGGCAGCCACTGAAGCTGGAGGAGAAGTGGGGTGATGTGGGTGTGTTTGGAGGACTTGGTCAGAAGCCGAGCACAGGCATTCTGAACCACCTGTAGACGGTTCAGGGAGGTTTTGCTCAGACACGTGAAAAGAGAGTTACAGTAGTCTAAGTGTGAGCAGATGAAGGTGTAGATGACTGTCTCAAGTTCAAGGTTAAACTACCACCAGTACTGGCGTGGGTTTTCTGACAGGTTACTTCTTCAAACCCGTGCCATTCCAATGTTAAAATCATCCAATGGATAGGCTGCAGAGGTCAGTGAAACCAAAATACTGACCCCTAGCTGCTAGCTGAATAGTTGTTTTATCACAGACTGGGACAATAAATCCTCCCAGCTGCCTTTACCCCATCTGAGTTTAATAAAACCAGCAAACTGATGTAAAAGAAAGCTTTACCCTGGCTGTAAAAATGGGCTGAGTTTTAAAATGTTTTATCTTTGACTTCGTTCCAGAGCCAAGGACCATTAACTGAAAAAAACATGATCACCCCTTGACTTGCATTTTGGCCAAGAAATCACTAGCAGGTCCGTCTGAACTGAGCGTAGGAAGGAACATAACGGGTCAAAAGTGAGGCTAAATATGGTGGCACTGACTCAGACAGGGATTTTAAAAAAAAGACCAGGATTTTGAGCAGAATGTGATATTTCACTGGTAACCAGTTCAAGGCAGTCAGAAGCAGAGTAACGTGCTCCCATTTTTGTGCTCCAGAGATGAATCTGGCAGCAACATTTTGGACCCGCTGCAGCCATGACAGTGAAGACGGCTGAAAACCGGCATACAGGGAATTACAATAGTCCAGTATAGACATGATAAATATTTCCAGCTCCTGTTTTGTGAGGATCGGTTTAACCTTTACTAAGCGTCTCAACTGAAAAAAACAAAATGACAAACTGTGGGGAGGGCCGCCTGAGGAACGCTCCCCTGGCCCTCTTAATGTGTACAGGAAACCGCAATGGTCAAACGGTAGATACAATATCAATGGGACCAGGTGCTGAACCCTGGTCCACCTGCTAGAAGCACTTTGGAGTGCATGAAACGTGCGTCACCCCGCTGTCACCTGAAAACCACAGCGGGGGAGACGACATCTGCCCTTAAAATGTTTTCCACGAGATCAGCATCTGGCAGAAGGCTCAGATCCATTCGGACCAGAACCTCTCGCCACAAAAACAGTTTCTTCCCCTCTGCAGTTGGACTTTTGAATGAAAATCCTAGGGCAGCCCACTCAAGTTGATTGGTCCCAGTTAGGGCTGCAACAACGAATCGATAAATTCGATGAAAATCGATTACTAAAAGCGTTGGCAACGAATTGCGTCATCGATTCGTTGTGTCGCACAACTCTTCCAAAAGTGCCCCCCCCCCCCCCCCCCCTTCCCGCCCGCCGTTGCGCACAGACCAGGGCAAGTCAGATCAGCGCGAGAGAGAGCCGGTACCGGCAGATCAGCGCGAGGGAGAGCCTGCAGACTTGCGCTGCTGCGAACCGGTTCCGCATTGTTGCACAGCGATCCAGGCAGCTGCTTCCAGCGCACGGTCCATTCTCAAAGTGGCGCAACCAAAAAACTATAATTAGCACACGATCGTTCTTGTCTGCACATGTTCTCTATTTTCTGTCTTATTTGTGCCTGAAGCGTGCTACTGCGGAGCTCATCACCTCTGCTGTGGTGATGTCACCTCACGCAGCATCGAAAACACGCTCTGCGCTTTGCGGTCAGGAGATCCCTTTGACCTGCTCAAAAGTAACTGATGAGGTGAAAAGGTAAGAATCCAGGCAACAGATTTTCTGGAGAATTATGAGGATATGCAGGAAGATGAGAGACAGACAGGACAGGAAAATAGTTAAATAAAAACAAGAAAACAAAGTAAAATGTAGGTAGATTTATCTCCACTACACGTTTTTACCAGTAAAAAACAATAAGTTATACACATGTCATAGTTATACATCTGATACAATTCAGATCACCTTCAAAACTCAGTCACACACCCAGGGCCGTTTCAAGACATTTTGGGGGCCAAGGCAAAATGCCCCCCCCCCCCCCCCCCCCCCCCCTCCATAACTGGGCTCCCCAGAAGCCTCTGTGTAATCCATACCCTCTCCAGGAGTGTTAGTAAAATCCCCTCAGACATTACTGACATGTTCTAATATTATCAGATGAAAAACTAAATTATCAGACATGCTGTCTCATCTGCTTCTTTTCTAAACTTGCAAAAAGTAACAAAACCATTTGAAAGCCACTATTTGTGGATTCTCTGAAAGTTTCCATGGAGTGTGTGACAACTTATTTTTTCA